ACCTCTGATCTTACCTTTGTGTTTTCCTAGAGTTGTGAGCTGAGGCGGAAAGTTCAGCTGGGCCAGAGAATTTCAGACTTTGTTCAGGACCCAGATCCTGCTTATTTTTAAGGCAGGGTTTCTCAACCTCAGCATCATCCACTCACCAGTTAGAAACCACTGTTCTAGAATCATCCAAGGTGCAAATCTGGATCTCCTCTCACAACTGTGCTCCTCCTCTGGCAGGGAGGACTCAGCCAGGACTGAGTTGTGCAGCCCAGGCCGTCTCACAGGGCCCGGCTTCCAGTCTTCAGTGCAGCCTCTCTGAACTATTGTCACGCGCATTTGGTTAGGTAGGATTTGACACTGCATAGGCAAACAAGCCTCCTTACCACTCTGCTGTATCTGATCATTCTTTATCCTTTATGATGAAATGCCCCATTGCTTTCTACATTTCCACATTTATAAGCAATAGTCTTATATTCATTATTTTGGTAACATCTCTATCAGAAAGTGCATATATTTTGAAATTAAATTTGACATAAAATAGATCCAGAGCCACTGACCACTATCACACTTGGGAGTTCACAGAATCCTTTCAGAATCTACAAAGACACTATTAATCTCATTTTCTTTAAAAACTGCTTTTTACTTAAGTACCAGAATTCGAGCCCAGTTAATCGTTCTTTGTGGTATTTTCTTTTTAGTGTTGTTTTCGGGCTAATATTATACCATGTTGGGAAACTATTATGATTCTTGAATTATGTACTGTTTATCATTTTCTAAAAAATCAGTAGCCTTATTTTCTACTTTTCAATTGCACAGAGCAGTATTTCACTCAGAAGGTGAGGCATAGTGGCTTGGTTGTAGGATGTCCCACTTACTTTCGGAGAAAGCCACACATTGAGTACTGACAAAGCCATCAAGAGGAAGGGGATTTTTTACATAGCATTAGGCTCCTCATCCCAAACAAAGTCACTTATACAGAAACTTTTGGAACACTATGCCTCACACACCAGATACATTCTGCTCTGTGACAAGCCACGGATGCCACGGTTGTCTGTTCTCCAGGACTCTCACCACCGTGGGTTCCATAGTGGATTGTGAGAGAGAGGTGCTCACTCATTTGGGACCCTCACCTTTAGCCCCCAGCATGGAACGTGGCCCATACCCAGCCACAGAGCCCCATCTTCAGGCTCTTCAAGTCCTATAGCAACTAAGTTGTTTTTCACACAAAAAAGGAAAAACTTATAACAACAAAGAAACACCAATACACACCTGTTAGAAAGGCCGAAGTGCACAGAGTCGACTCACCGTGTGCTGGTGAGGATGAGGAGGAACAGGGACTCTCATGCGCTCTGGTGCAATGCAGAGTGGAACGGCACTTCGTAAGACAGTTTGGTAGTTTCTTACTAAACTACACTTACCCCTGCCACACAGTTCAGTCATTGTGCTCCTCAGTGTGCACCCAAGTGAGTTAAAAGCTTGTGTCTGCCCCGAAGCCTGCACATAGATTTATATAGCTATTTTACACGTAATTGCCAAAATTTGAAAGAAACTAAAATGTCCTTTGGTGGGTGTGTGGCTCAATAAACTGTACCATAAATTCAGCACTGAAGAGGAATAAGCTATCAAACTATTTAAAGATGTGAAGGAACCTTAAGTGCATGTTACTAAGTGAAAGAAGCCAATCTGAGCTACATACTCTATGCTTCCCACTGTAGGACATCCTGGAAAAGAGAAAACTATGGAGACATTAAAAAGATGAATGGTTGCAAAAGGTACAGAGGGAGGGACAAATTGGCAGAGCATAGACGATATCAGAGCATTTAAACTATTCCACACAGCACTACAATGGTGGATATCTCTTTATACATTTGTCAAACCCCGTAGAATGTACCACACCAGGGGTAACCCTTAATATAAACTGTGGGCTTTGAGAGGTAATAATGTGTCAGTGTGGGTTCATTGGATGTGAAAAAAACAAGCGCCACTGTGGCATAGGATGTTGCTGGTGGGAGGATTTTGCTTGTGTGAGAAGGGGGTATATGAGAATTCTGTATATTCTCCATTCAGTTTTGCCCTTAGCCTGAAGTATTCTAAAAAGTAAAATTTATTAATTTTTAAAACTATAGTAGAATATAGGAAATAAAAATATAGAGAAGTGAGCATTATAGAAATAGAGTATAGAAAATGATCTATTCCATTTGGCTCTGTGAATCTGCAGGGCCCTTAAGTGCTGAGATTATTCTTGGGCATGGATATAGTCGTAGAATCTCATATGGTGTTGGTAAATGATGGCGGGATGGTTGGTTGAGAAGCTGCTGCAGTACAATAAACTTTCAAAGGAGAAAGAACAGTTCTCACCGACTGCTTTGCCTTGGGCAGAGTAACTCGATGTGGAGAGGGCGTCCCTGCCCCACCTGTGCAGTATGTAGCTGCTGCTCAGACACAAAGTCGAGCGGAGATGTCCAGGGCAGCAGTGAGGAGCCTGGAGCCTGATACAGCCTAGCAATGAAACTCCAGTCTCTGGCCGACTAGAACTGTTGGTCCCTGAGGACATGGCGGAAGCAGTAGCTTTTCGGCCCTCAAGTACAGAGAAGCTAACACAAGAGGTGGTATAGGCAGAGGGGGCTGTGACTGTTCTCCAGATCTAGAGAACTCTCGGGGACCACCTTTTCTGTACCCCACTGTCCTTCCTCAGTGGGAAGGGGCAATGGGTTCTACGAGCTGCTGGGAGCCAGAATTCAACTCTCTCAGACTCCGTAGAAAGTTCTCAGACTGCTCTGTGCTCCGGTGACTTCGCGCGCACAGAGCAAAAATGTTTTCACCGGTGTCGCGAACCATCAAACACAAAATTGCTTCAGGCTCTTTGGTGATGGTCAGCTGCAGAGACGATCGGCCTTTGTCCCTAACTCAGATGCTCTCATCGAGACAGCTCCTGTGTCCTATGCTGCTCTGAGGCGCGTCGGCCCTGCTGCCACCCCAAGCCAGGGCACTGGTTTTCTGTGTTCTGAGCCCCCAGCTTCAATCCAGAGGGCTGTTTTGGTTACAGGACCTCAGGGGGAGCCCCCCAGCCCAGGAAGACCGTACAGTCATACCCAAGAGTGAAACAGGAAGTAAAGCGTCCACTGATTGAGCCAATGATCCAGCGTAATGAATCTCAAGTCTGTCAAAAACACAACTTTGGAAGCTTATACACATAGCCTTCCTAACGTGTGATTGGCAAGCACAAAGTTTGGAAAGAGCGGTTTTCAACAATGTATAGAAAGGTGTATTCGTGATGTATATTACCTAAAAGGCCTAACGTTCCCTTCAGCGAACACCGCAGCACAATGTCAGACGCTGTTTTAATGTCTCCAGCGGAAAGCCGTGGAAGCTCACTGGTCACCGCGTTGCAGTTTACACATATCACAGACGGCAATTCCTCACCAGGAGGATTTCCTTGGAAAAGTGATTCACATCCGTCTATCGGCGTATTTATTATTTTACTTTCAAATTATATTGCAAGTCCAAGTCTTTCCATCTTGGCCGTTTACTGCCCTAATGCGAGATGCCCACCGCCTACCTCCCACCCAGCGCCCCGCAGCGCCCCGCAGCGCCCCGCATTTTCCAAGCCGTCGTCCCTCAGCCCCTCACCTGGACAGGCCCGTCGTCTTCGCGTGCCACGGAACGGCGCTCCCCGCTGTGGAAGTGGCCTTTGGTGGCAGTTAGAGTGAGAGCCACAGCCCCGAGGGCCTCGGGTCGTGCCCACAGCTCCGGCTCTGCCCTGCCAGGCCCTCCCCTCTCTGCTCCAGCCCGCGCGAAGCCTCCCTCTTCCCTCCGGGAGGCCCTGCTCCTCAGTCTTCTTCTCAGCGCCGGCCCTGTCCTGTCCTTCAGGCCTCCGCTGCGGCCGCCTCCTCAGAGAGCAGCCTTCCCTGCCTCTTAGGGTGGAAGCCCTTCCCGTGGCCCCAGACCCCGTCACTGTCCTTCTCCGTTTTGTTTTCTTCACACCCTTCCGTCTGTGTCTCTGCGAGTGTCCTGTCTACCTACTTCCTTATTTTTTATTGTCTCCTCACACTAAGGAAAAGAGGGCCTTTATTCTGCCTGCCACTGAATGCCTTGCAATGGGAACAGTGTCTGATATAAAATAAAGGGATGGAAGACTAGAGAGCGTGTATATATTCATCCAAAACACATTTATTTTAAAATGTTTACTTAAAATATCTGTATATTGATTAAGGCTATCTTATATATTATTTATGAGTGAATACTTGTAAATATCCCTGTAGAGTTTTTTTCTCATCCAGCTTTTATGTTGATGTTAAACGTTGCAGGGAATGAAATGATCATTTTTATTAAGTGCAAGATCTGGACTAGAATAAAGGATTTCATCTCTTTCTTCTACTTTTCTGCACCATGAACATATACTTGGAGTCCCACCTAGAGTCCATGACAAAATGGCAAAATGCCTCCAGTTCCTTCAAGAAGAATATTCCTTATTTTGAATTATGTTAATGTGGTAATAACTGCTATAAACCAAAGCCATAGGCCACAGTTCTCAAGCCTGTACTTAAACCACATATATTCTTCTAGTTGGGTGTTGGGATATTCTGGTTTTTCTTTTTTAACTCTCCTTCATCACACACAAAACCTCACTTTCAAGATAGCCTTGAGAACATGTACATATGGTAACACCCATACTGGGCTCTAAAGTTTCACTGGATAGATTTTCTGATGGGCCAATGAATGAGATATTTCTATTTCTTCCAAGGAGAGCTCTTCATTTCTATATTTTATTTATGTTTGCATTTATAAAAGGTCTTAAAGCACTTAATGGGTAATAGGAACCATGCTCATCTCTGAAATTAAAACAGCATTGCAGGTCCTTTTCTACTTGGGTATCTTAGTCTGACGTCATAGTCTGAGGAATGACCTTCATGTGCTGGAGCCAAAGGTTTCTTCCCCACCTGGCCCCTCCACAGTCACCACCCATATCCTAGAGAGGAGAATGGTGCTCATGTTTCTGCGGTGTGTTTCAGCAACTGGGAAGTGTGTACAGTATACTTGCTGCAATCCTAAATGTTGGAAACATCGAATTTTCTTCTGTGGCAACTGAACACCAGATTGACAAGAGCTACATTTGCAATCATGCAGCGCTGGAGAATTGTGAGTTATACGATCTTCTATTCCAAACTAAACTGTCTCAAGTCTTATGCCCTAAGTGTCCCCTAAGGATAATTTCAAGGAATTATACTCATATGGAACCCTTAAAAGGATGCTCAGATTCAATTTGTATAAAATGAAATTTTAAAAATCCAATATTTAAAAGATTTTAATGAGTGCAAAGCGGTTATTGTAGAAAACATTTCTGAAGACTAGGCTTTTATGACTGTTCATAGCTGCTTACATTTTAATATGAAAATACAGAAAAGACAGATAAAATATAGTTAACTGATAAGAAAAATAATTGAAGTTTTCATCCTACAGATTTAGAACATGTCATTTTAAAAGAAATAAAACCCATATGTTTTTTTACTGGATGAATTTTGTACATCCATTTGTCCTATATTAATTAATTTTTCAGTCATTTTTCCACACAAGAGAACCACATCGTGATATTGCTTCAAATCAAGTTTTCTGTTATTAACAGTTTCATGAATTCTTCCAAATAATTTCACAATTCCAGTGGCATAGCTTTTTATGCCTTGTTATTTTTATAATGGCATATTTTTTAATTCTATATTTGTTATTTCATTCATAACCTAAGCGATCATGATACAAATTTTTATGCATATATTTTTTTCCTGAATAGTATTTATTCCACAACAAAATGATAGGCTTTAGGGTAATTTCAGCAATGCCAGACCTTCCTGGCCCAGATTCATTGTGCCTTAGAGCCCTGGCATCTCCTACTAACATATATGAAATAGTTTCAGTAGCACACAGACATCAGGTTGTCAGAAGTGAAAGGAAGAACCAGACGACTTTGGTGGGATTCAGTTCTTGCCATCTAATTATAATTAGAAGAGTTAACAAAATGAGACCCGATAGTGTTAGTTTGCTGTGACAAATCCCTGACACAAATCAACTTAACCAGAGAAAAGGTTCCTTTTGGCTTGTGGTTTCAGCAGGTTCAGTCTATGTTCACTTGCTCCCTGTTCTGTTGCTTTGGGACCTATGCCAAGGCAGGACGTCACAGCAGAGAATGTATGCAAAGCCAAGCTGCCCACCTGTGGGGGCCAGGAAGTGAAGGTACAGCGAGGAAGGGCCAGAGTCCTCTTCCAGGGCACACCCACAAGGACTCTCCTTCCATCCATAGTCCCCACCTCCTGAGGCTTCCATCACCTCCCAGTAGCACCAAAGGCTAGCGACCAAGCATCTATCTAATACATGAGCAGTGGGGAGACACCTAAGATGGAAACCCCCAGATATAAATAAGAGTACACTTACAAGCAGCCAAATTAAAAGGCTATTTTGATGGATCTACTTCTGTACAACAGGAGAGCCTTATAGGTCAGCAAAAATGTTAACATGAATATAATTAAAACACTTTCTAGAATAGCCACTTTGGGAAAATAAGATGATTTATCATTAGAGTTAAAAGGAATTATTTCCAAACCAAAACCACATTCCTAAATGGTTTTTGTGAGTGCATTATTTCACTCAGGCTTAATTCTATTCTTTCTATCATATATATATAAAACCCTCAAATCTTACCATTTCTCTTTATGTTCATCTTTATCATTCTCATCCAAGACAATATCATCCCTTGCCTGAATGACATAGTCTCCCAGTTGTTCATTCTGCATCAGGAATTGATCTTTCTCTGCCCATTCTCATGGCTAATTCAGAAACTGCTTAACCAGTATATCAATGGGCTCCCAATCTCCCTCTTTTCCTCCTGCCTTCTTTCCTCCTCTACCTCCTCTCCCCTCTCTCCCTCCCATCCTTTTCCCTCCTTCTATTTCTTGTTCTCCCTCTCTTTCCCCACTCAAATTTCTTGATGAGCTTCCCATGCCCGCTAGATGAAGATCATCAGGATTGGAACTTTGTTGTCAAAGTATTATAATTAATAATATGTCCCTGAGTAAAATGCCTAGCATGTACCAGACAATAAATATATGTCAATGAATGAACAACATGGGAATAGAAATGGACATACACATCAGTGGAAGACAGAGTTCAGAAACAGATGCACCCAGAATTCCGAAAACATAACAAATCAATAGGGAATCAATGTTGTAGGGACAACAATCTTCCTAACCATCTGAGAGAGGGGGCATGTGAATTCTTCGCAAACATCATATACCAAAATCTGAACATATAAATTTTTTTGAACATATAAATTTAATGGAAGAATCATAAAAGTGCAGATGAAATCCATGTGTATAATTCCGAGGTAAAAAAGGACTTGAAGCTTATGCTGAGAAAGCCAAAAGCAGAAATTATTTTCTTAAAAATTGGATATTTGGCTACCTAGAAATTAAATTCTTTTACAGTACATACAGAAAACATAAATTAAGTTTCAAGGCAAATGAAAGTGAGAAAAAATATTCACAACATATCAAAACTTCCCTTTAAAGAGCTCTTGTAAGTTGATTGGGAAAACGTGAGCTTATAGATGCAATGAGGCAGTTTACAAAATAACAACCACAAATCACAGATAAAAATGAGAAAGGAAAAAATGTTCGGCTTCACTTGGAATAATTAAAAACAGGAAGAAGACATTTTCCTATCAAACTGGCTATTTTTTAAAATAATTCCTGATATCCATGAAATTGTATTGAGACTCTTGCTCATTGGTTTGGCTGAGAGGACTGTAATTAGTTCAGGCTTTGACGAGAAGTTAGGCCATTTAGGAACCAGTTGCTGACTTTAGGCAATCTTTCGTGCCCACGTTATTTACCCCTAGATTTTTTACCCTTGTGAACCTGTGGAAGCAACCTAAACGTCTAGCAATTTAAAAGTGATTGCTATATTATGCTATGCTAGGACATGCAGCAAATCAAAGTCATGTTTACAAACAACATTCAACAAAATGGGAAGTGCTTAAAATATTAGGATACTCTTTGTGCAGAATAAGTAATGGCACTAAGCATCCCTAGAATGAAAGAAATGAATGTTAATTTTGAAGATAAAACCTATTATTACTTCTACAATGTGAAAAAATGTCTTAAGATGAACTTCAATACTTTTAGCCACATAACCAGAAAATATCTTGTCAAAATGTCTAAAAATGAATTCAAACTGTTCAAAGTGTTTTAAAAAGAGAACTACTGAATTGAAAACTTAGCCTGTCATGCAATAGTTTTGGTTAAAAATGCTTATTACATCCAAAAATGAATTTTGTTCACTGAGTTACAGCATTATGAATTTTAAATCCTCCATGATATTTAATTATCATTAAATGTAAAATAAATGTTTATTCAGACATCATGTTTTATCAAAATTTAGTGATTGAAATATAGAAGTAAAGGAAGCATGATAACAGGTACATGAATATTGAGCTAAGTTTAAGCTTTTTAAGGTGCACATTGAGGAAGGTAGTTCAGACCAGTTTGTTTGGTATTCCTCCAAGATCTAAGTAACTTTCCTATCAACTTCTACATTTTGAAAACAATAATATAATAAAGGTATCAAAATTATACCAAATCTTTTCATTATGCTTTATTTTAACTCAGTAGTAGGAACTGAACCCAGGACCTTCACACTGAGCTACATCCCCAGACCTTTTTTATTTGTTAGTTTGAGACAGGGTCTTGCTAAGTTACCAGATTACACTTGTGATCCTCCTGCCTCAGCCCTCCCACAGTGCTGAGTTTACAGATGTGCACCACCACGCCCCGGCTTATGCTTTTAAATTGTTTAGCCAAATTCCATGAAATTGTGTTGGCCATGACATAAACAACCACTCACTGGTGCAGCTGTTTCATGTTGCCAGCCAGTTTGGTTTGGGTTGAGTTGTGTTAGGCAGCAGCCATCGTTTGACCAGTGAAGAAAAGGAGAGAAAAATGACTAGGAAGATAAACGAGACTAATGTTGAATAGCAACTTATTTTTGCGTTATAAAATCTTCACATATTTATCTCATGTCATCTGAAAGAAGTGAATTAAAACATTTTCATTTTCTGGAAGTGATCTCATTGCCTTAATTTCTTCTTACAATTCATCTATTGATTTTGCAGCTGCTTCCTTGCTTTGCATTCAGGCAGATGAGTTACAAGAAGCTCTCACCTCCCACTGTGTGGTCGCTAGAGGAGAAACAATTATACGACCCAACACTGTAGAAAAAGCTACCGATGTCAGAGATGCCATGGCCAAAGCTTTATATGGACGTCTCTTCGGTTGGATAGTCAATTGCATTAACAGTTTATTGAAGCATGACACATCACCAAGGTAAAAATTTTTATGCAAACTTTTCTCCTAAATGTCAGGTGATGGGTCTATTTTGCAATTTTCTATGTGTGTGGGTCCCTTTGAAGATGTTTTAATTGGTATAATTTATCAATGTTACATTTCGGTAAATATGCATCATTTCTTACCACCTCCTTATGCCATATAAATGGAAAAATTTTTAATTGCTGAAACAGAAAAACTGTAGCAACATGAATGATCACAATAGAAAGTGATTTTTTTTAATGTGGAATCTTACTATCAATATTTCTGTGTTGCTTTAATTGGAGGATACACCATGAAGTATATATCATTTTACACTCATATAAAATGTCAATCCAGAAGTTTTTAATTTTTTTTTAAATTACATCTTGAAGATAGGGAAAAACTTCTTTTTTGTATTTTAATCCTCACTATCACCCCATAAGGGTAGGTATTCTGATTTCCAGAGAAATTTGGAGCAAAAATGGTATCTAAGGGAAAGATAAGGCCAGACTGGGTAGTAACGTGTGTGACCTCTACACTAAGGCCTCCATAGTAGTAATTGCTGATAGCATTGTCTGGACTGTACCTAGATATAAGTCCCTACATTTACAATAAAAGCTTTTTTCTGCCATATATTGTGGGAATTTAAGAAATGTTGTCCGAGGAAAAGTAAGATGAATGCTTACTTTAAGATTACCTCATTCACACCTGCTAAGCATAAATGACCATTTTATCCACATTTCAATTCTTCATTATTTTTCAACTAAAACACAGCCCACACCATAACATTATCCCATCAAACTAAGAGGGGGCCCATTATTCCTCTCATCCTCTTACCAGTCTTCCCCTCAAAATTGCTTCCTTACCTGCCTACTAAACCCTACAAAACAAAAATGGTCAAAATGGTTTGTATGTTCATGTGCAGCCATCTCTATAATGTCAGACATTTATATGAAAACAGAAAAATTTAAAATTTCTCAACAAATGTGCATTTCACATACTCAAGCAAGATAAAGGCTTGACCCCACTTATTAATTGTCCCCTGCATGTTTAGCACTAAATGGTACCCAGCAGGATGACCTGAAAAATCCCACAAGAGTCTACCTGTTGAATTAACTCCCCTTTCTGTACACAAATGAAAACTATCAAAGACTTAGATTTTAAAAGAATTTCTTTTTACAGAAAGCTTAAAAAAAAAAAAAAAAACTAAAGCAAAACCAATGGAAATAGTTTGGCTTGATTCTGTCAGGATTTCCACTGAGATTTTGGGAAGCCGGTGTTCTATCTCAGGCTTTGCCATAAACTTGTGTGAGACTGGGCAAGTGACTGCATTTTTCTGCATCTCTCCCTCATCAGCTGTTACATAACACCATCGAAGGACAAACCAGTGGTTTTCATTGTTGATGGTGTCTTGAAGTCTTTTAAGAACCTGTTGAAAGCTGTCTATGTCCTTCACTCCAAAATAAAATATTTGGTATATTTGCACATACACACCAAATTACTGCCCAGAGCTGTGATTCTACACACCCTGAAGGCCAGCAAAAAATCTCATTTTGAGAACCCCTGAACTAGACTATCTCAGAGCTCCCTCCCGGATGGAACACATTTTTAAACAGTAAGCTAAATACTTTGCAGGACCCTGTGGGCACAGATATTGTAAAAGGATAATAAGTTTGTCTAAACCAACATGAATCTTAACTGCACATCTTCACTCAACTATGCTTTATAACAGGAACGTTCAGAAATCCTCCTGGTTTTCTCTTTACCCATCCATCACATCTGTAAAGTGTCCTTCCCTCTGAGTTCTGACTCAGGTGCTTCCCCCAGATGTGGGCAGCACCCAGTCTCACCTACACCATCCAAACGGGGAGCGCAAAAAGAACCTTTGTGCTTCTTCCTTTAGAAGTGCACATAAAAATAATTCTCAGTATATATATATATTTCTTAGGAGAAGAGTAATCTCTTTGACCAAGCTCAACCTTTAGTGAACAGAAGTGACCACACTGAATAACAGAAAAATGCACTTGAAATATTTGTGAAATACCATAGTATTTAATGGTATTCTAAAGTATTTCATTGTAAAATAAATCCCCATATATTTGTATCTTTCTCCAGGTCACCATTAGTTCTGTATTTTTTTTAAAAATTCATAAGTAAATGATCCAAAAATAAATGATGATTCTTCCAATAATTAAGATATTTTCAGGAAGATTTTAAATTATTCTCCTAAAATGAAAGGCTAAATACGCTCCTTACCAGAATTTGTGCTTTTCTGGTGCAGTCTTGATTGCTACCTTCTCATCGCCAGCCAGCTTGTTGCTATGATTCCTGACTCTCTTTGTGCCCTGGCTTTGTCTTATAGCCCACAGAGAAATTTTTTCTTTTTTATGAAGTATATATGAGAGAATAGGAATGGTTTTTATAGTACAAGGAAAATATGTATGTTAAAAATTAGTGCTGCCTCCATTATCTTCATGTTCTGTGGAGAGGAACTTTTTCAGTTGAGAAAATGTCAGCTGGGATGGAGGTGCACATCTGTAATCCTAGCTACTTGGGAGGCTGAGGCAGTAGGATTGCAAGTTAAAAGGAATTCTGACCAACTTTGTGAGACCCTATCTCAAAGTAAAAAAAAATGCAAAAGGCTGGGGATGCAGCTCACTGGTAGAGTACTTGCCTAGCATGCCCAAGGTCCTGTGTTCAATTCCTAGTACAAGAAAAGAGAAAAAAAAAAACAGTTGTATTCTGAGTGTGTGTTCTGGTAGTAGTTTCTTAGTTCAGTTTCGTACCATGGGGGCTCTGAGATACTTTGCATAGCTCCTAAGCAAATAAATAATAACTCAGTAGAATACTACTTTTATTCTTCCAGTGGGAACAGCGATGAGCTGAGCATCGGCATTCTTGATATATTTGGCTTTGAAAATTTCAAAAAAAATTCCTTTGAGCAGCTGTGCATTAACATTGCAAATGAACAAATTCAGTATTATTTTAACCAACACGTGTTCGCATGGGAACAGGTAAGTGCGACAACTTACTCTAAAAATGCATATTGCGTAATTGCACAAATGAAGTAGAACCCACAGCATAGATTTAAAGCCTTCAACATTTAAAAAGATAATGAAAAAACTTTATTTTCCCCATGTCAGTAGTAAAAACAAACAACAAAAGGTGTAGTATGAATTTCGTGTGACTTCATATGCGATACTAAAATTCCTTCACTGAAAATCAACACATTGTTCACCAAAATTTAGCATGCCTGATCTCTTGCAAACAAAGAAATCTCCTTTGAAAATTTAAGTAAACAGATGTGTCTAGCAGCTTCTCTTTCTGTAGAATGCATAGCTGAAATTCAGTTTGGAATTTCAATATCCATCTAAAATGCATTAAACCCCCGAATTCCAGTAGCTAGGCAACAGAACACGGGATAATGGGTTTGATGCAAATGCCACGAAACGGTAATTTTGCCAGGGTACAATGTGTAATTTATGATTCAGCTTCAAAAATATTCTTCCACAGATAAAAAGCAGAGACTTACTTGAATTGCATTTGACAAAACTGTCATATATTATAAAGATTATATTATTGTCGTAAAGGGGGCACATTTAATATCATTCAATATATTGCCTGTCTTCTTCAAATCACATTATTTTGCTCTGTGTTTATGGATTAGAGCTAATGTGCTAATTTAAATTTAGGTAAGTTAGAGGGGCACGAGCCTCTTTTTATTGAAAATATTTAGGCTTACTGAGAATTTATTTTGGAATTACATTTTGAAAACAGTGGTCATGAAAGAAGACATTTCAATCTTGACATTTCTTAAGCCAAAAACAAAAGCCTATAAATTTAAGATCTGATAGCAGCTTTCCAGCTCTCTCTTAACCCTCACCAGGATCTGGTTCTGTCACATATTCATTCCCTTTCTCTCCCTCCCCTTTCTGTCTCCTCCACCTCCCTCCACTGGGGTCCTGCCATAGCCTAAGCATATGATGAAATCGCTTTAAAATCATAAAAAGAGAGACAGAGCAGAGAACCCTTCCCCACTCCTCTGTGGCCATGACCTGTCTTCCTGTCCCCCGTCAAGCTCCTGGGCAGCAGATTCAGCACTCGGGGCCCTGCACAGCACCCCACCTGGGTGTGCTCCCCCCAGACCCTGCTCGGACATCCACCGGCTACTGGAATGGGCCCAGTCTCATCCATCACGAGTTCATTTTTGCCTTTCTCATTAGTCCCTAAATTTCTTTAAGCCCAGTCGCGTGACTTACTTCTTTTTGTATTTTCAGAGGCTGACACATAAGTGCTCAATGAATACTAATGAAATGAATGCCATCTTTGTTAATTAAATACCTCACAATTTACAGAGTCTATTTAAACCGGAGACTGAAACAAATATCCCTGCTTTGCTTTGGGCTTTTTGACATAGATCTATTCAGCTGACTGACTTTGTAGACCCCGATAGATCCTCACATACCCACCACCTGGCACGTTAACGACTTACAGGGCTAGAACTCTGTTTTCTGGGTGAGATTAGAACCTAATTTTATTGGAACTAACCTTAAACCTGTGTATAGATGTCAATAATTTTTGTCATTGACTTTTTATAAAGTGTTACAGTTTTTAAATCACTTTGGTGGACTGCTAATTTCACCCCTGATCCTGACATTCTGCTTCTTATGCCTTTGGTCTTGCTGCAGAAACGATTCTTTAAGGTCCTTCAAAATATCCTTGAGAAGCTTTCAAAACAAAACAACTCAAAATTTCCCACAATGTAATTAAAAATGCAACTAGTATGGAGGATTATACAAAGCGCTCTGAAGAATTAAGGTCATTCCCAATCCCATCCGGTGCCTTTCTAGACATTGTGCCAGACACTGGTGGCCAGAGTGTGATCAGAATAATGAATCTGTGATCTGCTGGATATAGGATAAGTCAGAATTCCCTAGATTTTAACATGTGACTGCACAGTTTTTTCTTTCACTCTGTTACTTTCCTGTGAAGGCAGAAAATGTAATTAAGAAAGGCTTACTCTAACCTAATGTGTAAGATACCACAGTTGAAAGTACACTTAATTCTTTTGGGAAGACACCCACCAGGGGAATAGCTGGGTCAAATGGGACTTCCAGTCCTAGTTCTTTGAGGTATCTCCATACTGATTTCCACAGTGCTTGCACCAGTCTGCACTCCCACCAGCAGTGGAGAAGGGTTCCTTTTTCCCCACAGCCCCGCCAGCATTTGTTATTCGCTGATTTCTTGATACCAGCCATTCTTGCAATATATGTGCACCCATGTTTATAGCGGCACAGTTTGTAATAGCTAAATCTTGGAAACATCCCAAATCGCCATCAACTGGTAACTGGATAAAGAAGATGTGGCTTTTTTATAAAATGGAGTACTACTCAGCCATAAAGAATGAGAAACTAGAGACATTTATAGCTAAATGGATACACATGGAGGGGATACTCTTAAGTGAAATAAATAGGACACACATGTATAAATACCAAATAGCTTCTCTGGTGTGAGAAACTGAAAGTTTAAATAAGGACTAAAAGGTATAATAGATAATGTGCAATAGGAAGAAAAGGGGGGAAGAGGAAGGCGAAGTGGGAGGGGTAGGGGAAAGGAAAGAAGAGAAAGGAAAAAATAGGAGAAAAGGAAAAATGGAAACAAAGTCTGTAAATAGGGAGGGGCAGAGGGGTGGAAGGGAGGGCAGGGGAAGAGGAAAAAATAAGAACCAAGATATATCATGTAAAGGTACAAATTCCCAATGATGACTGTCATTATAAGGTATACCTAAAATGTACCAATAAAATTAACGAATTAAAAAAAAGTACACTTAATGTATGTAAATGAAAAACAGGCATTAAAACAAAGCACCAATTAAGGTCGTGGTCACACTTTTTTTGGTCAAATATACTCAAGGCTTGACCTACCCGGCAGCTCCTGAGTTTATTAGCTGCATTGTGGCACTGAGCAGGACATAGTGTTGTCAACTTCATGGGACATAAAAGTGACCTGGCTGCATCCCCCGGGACACATGGTTTGTGCGGCACCTTCACAGGCGAAGCACTTTGGTCCTACTCAAACCAACAAACTTCATATTAACTAACAGTTCGATGACACTGCACAATAAATGGTAATCTGCTGTGAAAGTGTTTCCTTATTGAGCCCAGTTTCCACTTAGTTATAAAGTGGGATGCTCTGGCAAAGTTGGTCACAAAGGTCCTTGGAATATAATTTTCCCATTGCCTTCTGTTATGAAAAATAATCAACAGACTACAATAAAGCATTTTAATGACCTAATTTCTAGCTTGCCAGATGGATGATTTTTATATTTCCTGAAATGGTTGCCTTCAGCTCACCATTTGTATTGTTCTTCAAAACATTTTCCAAAATCTGGAAATCCACATCATCCATTTGCTGGCAGCTATGTCTCCTTTCTCTTCATAGCCTACTTTTCTACGGACATTTACTAAAGGCCTCTAAATTTCACAACAACCAACCTAGAGCTTCTAGAACTTGCGTCTCTTTCTTTGTCTTAATATTTAGATATTTAGAATGCTAAGAAAACTGATCTGTAGTAGCATCATTCTTCTAGTTTACATAATATGTAGGTAGTTCCTAAAAATTTCCTGGCATGTGATATTTTACAGTATTTGAAGCTAACATATTCTCGCAGCCTTAGTGAAACAATTTTATGTACAACGATTTAATAACATTGAGATCAATTTGTATCTGAAAACAATAGTGTGAACATTAGACAACAGTCTAGGCCACTTCCCCTGCAGAAGAAAGCTGATCAGCTAAGAAGTATAGTTGTAATCTTTTTAAAATTTGAGACTCAGTGAAACTTGTCTAAATGAACTAAATGAACTAAAGCTGAAAAAAATAATTTTCTCTCAATTGTATGAATTTCAAAAATACAGCCTTCATATTTCTGCCTTCCCTGGTGCATAGTTCAGTGGTACTGTTGCACACACTGTTGACTCCCATATTTTCCAGAAGGCATTTCATGAGCAGTTCATAGCACAGCAAACAATCTTTCCTCATTTCTAACGAGGGCTGCATCTTTTTACAGTAGCCCTAGCCCTCACTTTGAGTTTTCACAGTAAATAGATGGCCAAGGTTTTGGGTGTGTTCGGTGTGTTTTTGTTTGGTTTTGGGTTGAAAGAGGACTCAGCAGCAAGCGAAGTGTAGCAGGAAGCTTGGAGTTCTTTGGAGTCATAGATACCATATTAGAATCCTGTGTTAGAAACGTACAGCTCTTGTCAAGGCACTCGCCTCCTGGAGCTGAAATGGTGGGTTTTTTCTGTTTTAATTTTGTACTGTTTTGTACTGTGGTATAGAAGATACAAAAGAATGAACCCCGCTCCTTAATAAGTCAAGGAGAACACACACAAACCATAGGTTGGCCACCCTCAGGCATGAGTTTGAAGTGGAACAAATGTCGCTGTTCTTTAGGGCCCCCGGGCAACCACTGGGCAACCAGAACATGTACATTTTTACAAAGGATGGTGCTGGAATTCTACTTCCTTTCTTGTCTGTTTATACTCTGTATAAGTTTTCTTCATACATTAAAGTAGCACGTTGGAGGAGCTATTACCTGGACTAGAGTTTGTGTCTAATGTAAGCTATTAATATTTGCTTCTGTACAAAGATAAGCTCTTGTATTTATCAGTTCTATGTGCACCTGTGGGTTTAGAGCTGAAAATCAGAAGGAATTTTATAAGCAGGAGACTATTTACTGCACATCATGGAAACAGTAACTGCAATTACTGCTCTGACTGCTCTTGCACAAAGTGGTGTGTGTGCCTTTCATCTCCAGCTGCTCTCGTCCTAAAGTTTAAAGCTTTCCAGAGTTTGAATGTGGGCGCCGACACATAATTTACGGCAATTACAAAGAACAAAAATTGATTCCGTACACAATACCGACATTTTCAACATTCTAAAGTAACAAGAGTCAGTCATCTGATAAAAACCATGTGGGCAATTAAAAAATAAACCTCTTATAAATGTCTTTAACTTGGTGTGCCCAAATGTGCAAACTTTAAAATCTTATATCCTAATTTCTTCCTGTCGTGCCATATGTGTGCTGTGGAGAGAAGGTTTGTCTTATTTTGGTTCTCCAGTATAAGCCATGCTGAAGGCACTTTCTTGAAACATTAAGACAGCCAAATACATGGAGAAACCCTTGATGTAACTCATCTTCCCTTAAATGTTCAGCCAAGCTTTGGTTGTCCTTTGGCATCACATCGAAATGTTCCTTACACCTCACATTCGCTGCATGTGGAAGCTGATTTCCAGCTGCCGGGCAGGACCCATGCCCATGCTGCTCACAGTCTGTTTCTCTCTCCTTGGTGAAGCTGCACCAACATTCACAATGTGACATGGAATCACGTCCACTTATATTCTGATTATACTGTACCCTTCTTAAAACTTTTGATACAAGATAAATTCCAATGAAATAAACACCTAGGACCCCAGGTCCATAAAATTACTATCACTCTGTGAAGTTAAAGCATATGTTGACAACATGTGATAAAAAATTTGGGCAAAGATTTAAATACAACAGTAAGGAAGAAATAATTGAAGTAAAGGAGATCCTCATATAAAGAAAATTGCATTTCTGAATTCCTAACCCAAAGGTCTCCTAAACCTAAGCTGATATCTGTCATTAGAATACACGCTATTAAAATCCTTTATAAATTTTAAAGAGTTTCAAGAATAGGTATCATATACCAAAAGTGAGTAGAGTGGGGCGGGGATTTAGCTCAGTGGCACCACGCCTGCCTTGAAAGTGCAAGGTCCTGAGTTTGATCCCTGGTACCAAAAAAAAAAAGTGAGTAATTGAGGTTTTCATCTTAAAATGTGTCATATACATCTTTTTCTAAATAAGAAAGTTGCTCTGAGGAACAGCATTCTAAAACTCAGTGCACTAAAGTTCCATAAAATCCATGTAAAATAAAACGTGGGTATTTTATTAGGAATTATCCAAAATATTTCATCATTACATTGTCAAATTCTAAGTTGATGCCCACTGTCATCTCAGGGTAACGATAACATTCTTCCTGGGACTTGCCATGAATATTAACACAAACAGTATCAGGATCAACAAAGAATTAAAAACATATTATGGTGGCACATGTAGACCCATGTTTATAGCAGCACAGTTCACAATAGCTAAATCTTGGAAGCAGCCTGTTTGTCCATCAGCAGATGAATAAAAAAATCTGATATTTATACACAGTGGAGTACTACTCTGCCATAAAGAAGGATACACGAGTCATTTGTAGCCAAATGGATGCACCTTGAGATCACAATGTTAAGTGAAATGAATCGGATGCTGTTTAGTCAGCTTTCAAGAGCTCGCGGGGCTGGGCAAGGTCCTCCAAAGACTGCAGGCTCGGAGTCAGATCTAACGCAGGGAGGAAATTCACGAGATCTGCCCACGGTGGCCGCCCAGAGTCAGGAGACGACGCCCAGGGAGGCAAGGCTGAGCGGCTCCTCCGAGGGAAACCAGCCCAAGCCCTTCCCACCCGCTCCCCTTCACAGCTGGGCCCCAAGGCTGCTCCTCCGTGGCTCTTCCAGGCCCGGGCCAGAGCCTAGGTGGGCGCCCGCCGCAGCGCAGGAGCCAGACTTCTGACAGCTTCTCTTCCGAGAGAACCCGGAACATAAACCGAGAGCGCAAGAAAACGCGGACGACCGGAAGTGGGAGGCAGAGCTTCCGGGCCCCGGGCCGCACCTCGCCCGCCCAGTCTCCGAGGAGCGCGACCCTCACGCGCTGCACACGTGTGCCTGTAAAAAACGAAGCTGAGGCGCTCGGAGCACCCAGAAAGGGGAACTGTCCGGTCGGCAGGAACTAGATTGGTCCCGTGCTGCTGCTGCGGCTCGGTGGCAGAGCTGCTTCCCCTGCGGCCGCGCGCTGTCCCCTGGCCTGGGGCCTGGGCCTCGCTTCGCGCAGTCCGTCCCTGTCTCCTGACGCTGCGGGCTCCGGGTGTCCACGCAGGGTCTGCCTTCTCATGGGCGAGAAGGCGGGTGAACGGGCGGATTGAAAACAACTCCGAGCACTGCAGGGCTGGCGGAGAGCGGCCGCTGAGGATGGGAGCTGCTGGGCCTGCCCGGCCGCCCGACCCGACGTGAGGCCAGGGCTGCGGAGAGGCGAGGCCAGGCCGGGTGGCAGCCCACCTGTGCGGGGCAGAACTACGGGGACTCTGTTACCTGTGCTCTGAGCCCGCGGCCTGGCGCAGCCGTTCTGAATCTGCTGTAGGGTGTGACTTGGACCCTGAGCACTTAAACTTGTTTCCGACGTGGCCATGCAACTGCGCCGCCTCTGGACTTTTCCACCACCACTCAAAGGCTACAGTCAGTGAAAAGCAGGAGCGAACTGAGGGTGGACGGTTTCCTAACTTCCACCTCTTCTGTCCCTTCCTTCCTGACAGGTATGGAAAGTGCCTTTTCGCCTCCCCACCTTGCAGAGGGACTGGGCGGTCTGAACCGAGTAGGGATCCTGCGTGCTGGCCCCTCAGCCTTACTTCGCAGTACCTTCTGCTGTAGATGTATTTTAACATGCCGGGCACTGCAGAGGACTTTCTGGGGAGACGGGAGCTTGGTTTTTCCACGCATGTTTTAAGATTAATTTAGCTATCACAACTGCTATAAAATGTGTAATAAATTGTCCTAGTCATGATGATTTTATTATAAGATTTAGAACTGCCGGGCACAGCAGCAATTTGTGTCTGCGTTGGTTTTGCTGGAGCCCACAATGCTAACAGGTGTCTGTAAGGGGACCCCATTGTCTTCCAAATCACAAATCTCCGCCCTGTCTGACCTTCCACAAAAGCACTCTGCGGATTCTGACACAGGCAAATAGAAGTGACAAATGCATCAGTTTAGACCATAACCTCCTGTGCTTTCTATATAAAGCGCATGAAAGTTCTTTTGAACTTTGCAGTCGTGATTTAAGTTATTATATGCTGTCAACACAATGTGTCTAACAGTAAAATAATTCTAAGCCTCCAGACTTCTCCCAAGGTTACCTTCAAATGAAAAGGCTACGAAACTTCACTATACTGCTTTCATTTTCTTACACTGGATAAACTGAATGTGTTTCAGGTTCTTTACCTTTTAGGCCATGGATTTTGCTTCCTTTTTGTGCATCAGGCTTTTTTTTTTTTGTTTCTCAGTGCTAAAGATCAAACCCAGGGCTTCTTGGATGCTGGAAAAACATTCCACTGGGAGCTACACCGCCAGCCCAAGATTTTGTATTATTTTAAAAGTACACGTTGGACTCAGGGTGCTGCTCACTGGTACAGGGCTTGCTTAGCATGCACAAAGTCCTGAGTCCAAGCCCTAGCAAAACAATAAAAATACATTTCTTTTCTCACATGACATCCTTGAAATAATACTTCAGCTTCACAAGACTCCTCCCATAGGAAGTAAATGTCTCAGCCCCACCTGCCATTGGCTAAATTCCAAAGTTGCCAGAAATAAATTTTCTTTCCCTAACCGGTATGGTATATTATACTTCGCGTCTATCTACCATATGTTACCTTGCATTATCACCCAAATTCTATTATAAACCTGCCAAGACAGGGAGCTTGCTTTAAACATCTCATCGTGCACCACAGTGCCTTGTTACAAGATGTGCAATGAATGTATTGCAGAATTAAAGAAAATAGTAAAATGATTGTTAAAAGTGCCCATGAACTAAGCGTGTAAGAAGGGCAGGACATGTTCCCCAGTAGGCAGATATTCCATACCTGAGCCTGGTGGTACAGTTGCTTTATCACCTGAAAACCATTGACTCCCCCCACCACCATCACAAGCACCATTAGTCACCTGTGGTTCAGAGGATGTGCGTGCAGACTTCAGCACTGGGCCAGGGGAGAGGTGTTGATGCAGAGTCAGAGGAACACAGCTGGACACACTCCGTCTTCGTGTCCTTCTCTAAGGCAGCATTGGCGTCTACACTGTGCTGACACCACAGTTGTGCAGTCATTGCTAAGGTTACCCTTACTTCACACATCTTATACTCGGTAGCAAGTGATTGCTAATGCATCCTGTGTGTTGTTTACTTTTGAGAGGGCGATTATTACCCCATTAAATAGAGGAGAAGAGAGAAGCTTAGCGAGCAAGAAAATTCCGATGGATTAGCTGAGCAGTGAAGTGGCACAGCCCAGATATGTCCTTGGCTCCAGAGCCTCGGTCATTCCCATGATCCTGTTATCCACCTAACTAAAACCTAAATGTTTGAAATCATGATTTCAAAGCTGTGTAAATGTTCCTGAGGGATCCAATGGGGAATGTGTAACCCTGATATACATAATTCATGTATTGTAAAGTCTGGAACATAGTCATTACTTTTCATTAATATTCTCCTAAAACTTGAAAACTGAGATGTCTGTAATTCTAGAATAGAGACTAGAAATCCTTTTATTATTATCCTGACTATAATCAGTGCTGATTTTAATAAACTAGCAGCTCTTTAGAGAGAAAACTAAAATGATACCCTCAGTTTAAGGGCACTATCATAGATGACAATTTATTATAATGTATGTAAAGTACAATTTTAGGTAATTACTCCTAAGCTGTACATGACCCACACAATTTTAAGTGAATTTTTCTGTTTGTGTCATGACTTACTATAGAATGAATATCTAAGTGAAGATGTTGATGCTAGAGTTATTGAATATGAAGATAACCGCCCCCTCTTAGATATGTTTCTGCAGAAGCCAATGGGTTTACTATCCCTACTCGATGAAGAAAGTAGATTTCCCAAGGCCACTGACCAGACTCTTATAGGTGAGTTTTAAATCCAGTGATTTATGGTTTAAATCCCATGATGTTATGGTTCGAGGAATGCTGTCATGTCACTCTAAATGGTTTTTAAAATTTAATCCAGGAGAAAATAGCTGTCTCAAACCCTTTAAAAGAAGGGACTTCTTTAAAGAAGAGGCTGCATCTCATAACTGGACTAGTGAATGTTTTATGATAACATGAAATATTTAGTGATTAATTAAACAAGGTTAGATGTTGGGTTTATCCTTATTTTATGTTAGGAGCCCAGCCCCAGAATGAACCTGAGGTTAGAAACTACCTCAGAAATGATCCAACTCCAAGTTAGAATTTGGTGGGAAGAGCAGAAAGACAGACCTAGAATTTGAAAAGAAAAAGCTAGCAGGCTGGAAACAAATTCATCTGTGACATTTGAGCCATTTATTTGATGGAGGCAAGCAGCCTCAAACACCTTAATAACTTCTAGGTTTCAGCACATTAATAAATGTTCATGGTAATAACCCTGAGTCATCAAACAAAGATTTAATGCATTCGTTTCTTTTTTCTGTTTGAGAAGGCAGAGATGTGCCTAATATATTTAAGAAGATTATCATTCAAAATAGTTAAAATGGAAAAATCCCACTTAAAGGAAAAACCTTAAGAGTTTTCAGGCAACTGAGAAAGTCATTTTCTAATGTGGAACATCATATTCCCTGGTGATGGGAGATATTCATTATTTTTTACAAATACTTGCAGAAAATTTAGAATCACTTTTTTCTTACTTTTGGTGATGTTCAGATCTTGTTTTTCACCATTAAATCTATGGTGTTGCTTCCTCCTGATCCACTGATTGACCCATTCTGTCCTCTGGACAATTCTAGATGGAAAAAAACCCAAAGTTGTAGGAAAAATAATTTAATAGCAGTCACTTGATATATCAAAATGTCCTTTCTAGGACATGGAAAATCTGCATAAATTAGCTATATAAAATTTCCTTCGCTCATTGTACATGGTGGGAAAAGAAATGATTCAAGCTGTCAGTATTTTCCGAGGATCTTCTACATGCATGATATTGGAATTTAATTTTTGACATTTTTTTCTACAGAAAAATTTGAAGGTAACCTAAAATCACAGTACTTCTGGAGACCCAAAAGAATGGAACTTAGTTTTGGAATTTACCATTATGCAGGAAAGGTAAGATCTCTCAGGAATTATAACTAAGTTTTCTGTTTAGCCTTCTATCAAATAATGAGGGTTGCCATGGAAATTAAGGCCCAAAATAGTGGTAGACAGTTTCAGTGAAGTGGTCAGCGATTTCTGTCCCCACCGGGGCTGCTTCTGTTCTCCAGCCCCCTGCAGTCTGTCCTGGCCTTTGTCAGCCATTCGCCTGCAGACCACTCACACTCAGGCCACACACCTACAGTCTGTCTGAAGGAACAAACCTTGTCTTAGGACAAAGCTCCAACAGTGAGTTCTAGCTTTTCTAAAGGAAATCGTGTTAAGAAACTGAGAGAAGAAAGGAGAGGAGGAGCCGAGACTCAAAGGGTTTATCTTTCTGATCATGAGATTTGGCTGTGAGTGTCGAGCTGGCAGTGGTTACCTAATTTTTTCATTTTGTAATAATAGCTGAGGACATTTTATATAAGCTGTGCTTTTCAGACTTGAGATGCTTTCTCTCTACTGCAGCCCGTGTCTCTCTTCCCTCTCAGTAAGAGAGAGAGAGAGAGAGAGAGAGAGAGAGAGAGAGCAGAGCCAGCCCAGACAGGTGGGGCTGGCTGCTGGGCTGTTACATAGTTGGAGGAAGAAATGTTCACACATGGATAGAGACACATTCACACACCAGAGCAGCCTCAGATCTGTTTCCCCCACCCAGGGGACGCTCTCCTCCCCTTTGTCTGTGGAGAATAATGGCCCCATCCCTCACAGTGATGTCATACATACTGGAGGACTGCAAGTCAAGCTGAGAAGATCTTCAGATCAAAGAATGGGAAAAAATGAGAAATGCATAAAAGTAAAATGAGCCGAACTGCTGGCGTCCAAGTCTGCTTGGCAGCCTTCATATGTTTGTCAATATTCCACCGACTTTTGTCATTAAAAATATAGACCTTAAACCTTTAAAATTACAACCTCTGTCATGACTCTCAGTATAAACTTTTCCAAATGAAGCCTCCTTTAGGAATTTGCATGAATAATTGTCTATGACTATTTTACCCAGTATTTTTTAAACAACTTTTCTAGTCTGGTCAGGCTGAATAACAAGAATATCATAGGCAGCGTAACTTAAACAACAGAAATTTATTTTCTTCTCTTTTCTTTTCTGTTTTTTGTTTTTGTTTTTTGTGGGGTTTTTGGTACTGGAGATCAAACTCAGGACCTTGTGCTTATGAGGCAGGTGCGGTGCCACTGAGCTAAATCCTTGGCCCAGAAATTTATTTTCTTATCAGCTCTGGAGCCTAGAAGTTGAAGATCAAAGTGGCGTCTGGTTGTGGCCGCCTTTGTGGCTGGCAGACAACTCCTGTCTCGCTGTCCTCCTGTGACCTCTTTTTCTGTGTGCATGCAGAGAATTTTGATAGGAATTTGGAGGAACATAATTCAATCCATAACAACCACCCTACAGGGTCATCCTCCAGAAGTCTGCAGCTTGCTCTCATCTTTAAGATGCCTTAAAATTATTTAGAAGTACCAGAAACACAAATACCCACAATGTGCTTAGACTCCACTACTCCTAGGATAAAAACCAATCATAGCCAAGCCGGTGCAGATGGAGAGTTAGTGTAGAATCAGAAATGCCTTGGTGGCCCCAGAGACTTCTCGTCCCTCCACATAGAAAAGAAATATGACAGATCCCCGTGTAATGGGAGGAATCAAGCCACAGATCGACCCAGGCAAAATCAGTGAGGCACAAGTATTTTCCTGTAGGAGACGCTAAATATGGAGTTCACTTTTCCAAGCAAATTGTAAGGGGTCACCTTTGTGATCTTTGTGTCCCTACTGCTCAGCACGGAGCTCTCAGGAAACATGTTGATGACGACAACTCTGACTGTGGTCATCACAAAGCATCCTTTATCACAGGTCCTCTACAATGCAAGTGGGTTCTTGGCTAAAAACAGAGACACTCTCCCAACTGATATCGTGCTGCTTTTGAGATCATCAGAAAACGGTGTGATTCGGCAACTGGTCAGCCAACCTCTGACCAAAACAGGTAAGGTGACTCCCACGAACTCGGAAGGTTCCTCAAAGCCCAATAAAGTCATTTCTGTCCCTTTTACCTGTGTGAATATAATCCCCAGTTTTTCATGCTAGTTTGTTTTCAGCTCACTAAATATTCACTTATTAATAGTCTCTGACCCAGGTCATCTGAGGAAAATACATAAATGAATATGAAAAAGTAGATTTTTTTTTTATTAAAGTGTTGGAGGCATTTACCAGAAAATAGGATGGTGTGCGAGCAGCTCCCTGGAAAAGCACACTCTCCTCAAAAGAGTCCAGAACTTCCTGCTATGTTCCAAAGTGGGCAGCCTTCAGGAGGTTGCTTGAGGTTCTGCAAACACAGTGACCTCTTGGATTGATTAAAAGTTCAGCCAGACATGGTGGTGCGTGCTTGTAATCCCAACATTTGGGAGGCTGAGGCAGAAAGATCATGAGTTCAAAAGCTAGCCTTGGCAACATGGGGAGTTCCAGGCCAAACTGGAATACAGAGCAAGACTGTCTCAAAACAATTTTTAAAAATCACACATTGGGCTAGGGATTTAGCTCAGTGGCTCCACCGCCTGCCTCACAAGTGCAAGGTCCTGAGTTCAATACCCGGTACCAAAAAAAAATCACATCATTCTGTTGACCATGCATGCCCTTATGTTTGTGTTTACATGGAAAAAACTGTAGTTTGGATTGGTTTTTTCCTTACTAAAATTTAAAATTATTCTCTGTATTTTTAATAATTTTATTGAATTAAAACTGAAGTATTTAACCAATAAAAATTTTTATATACACAACATTTATGCAGGTATCACCATTATAGACAGGCAAGTTAAGCAGTGCCCAAGATAAAGGCAGGATGGCCAGGCCTTAGTCAGATAAGCAGGAGCTTGAGGTCAAGAGTTAAGAACCAGGTGGACAGTTAAGTCCAGGAACGTAAGAAGCAAGGTAATAAGCAAGGTGATGGATGATCGCTATGACAAGTTCACAGTGACAACTTCTGCTGCCACCTGTCTGGAAAACATTTTTCCCCTCTTACTTTTAATAAACCACTTAGATAGGTTAGAGGCCAAGAGGCACCTGCAGACTCCTGCTTTCTCTGTGCCTTGATTCCTTATAGGCCCATTTCTAGTTTAAGTAAGCTTGTTTTTGTCCAATAGGTTGACTTAAGTTTGACTCATAGAGGTCTGAGCTCTGGTGATTTTTTTTTTTTTTTTTTTGGTAATGGGGATCAAACTCAGGACCTTGTGTTTTTGAGGCAGGCACGGTGCCACTGAGCTAAATCCCCGGCCCCAGCTCTGGTGATTTTTTAATAAAACTCCTAGACAAAGAGTCCCATGGAAACCTACTTTGGGGTCCCCTCCTGACTATTGCAAGCAATTTCTCTCTTCTTAAATATTCCTATTGTCGGCCTCCTTTGTCCTTGATTTCATTCTTTGACTTTGTGAGACATGGTCCCAGATCATGCTGTTACATCACCAAAATTAGTGGTGAATATATTCATCATCACACATGATGTTTCCTAATGACATTTTGTAATTCTTCCCCCCACTCCTCCCTGTCACTTTCCAAACATTCTAGCACCACTTGTTGGGAGAATTATCCCCCCACACACTTAATTGCTCTGACACCGTTCAAATGACTGGACTTCTTTGTGTCATTGATATTTATCTATCTTGATGGCAATACCACACAATTTTAAGTTATCTTGCTGTCTCCAAGATTCTAAAATAAACCATGCTCGGAGACCCTACCGAGGTCCCGAGTCACGCAGAACACACCAAATCAGCCCACGCCCCAGCAACAATCCACTGGACACCGCCCCCCCCCCGCTCCTCTGTACAGCCACCTGGTTCCACACTACAAAGACACAGAGGACACTGGACCACCAGACCACGCTACTGAGTCCCGCTGCTCCCAGCCCAGAGGTAGGGGCCTCTGAGCCGCCATCCCACTGCTCCTGGTCCAGAGGAAAGGGCTTTTGGCCCACCATCCCTACTGTTGTTCCCAGCCCCTGTCCCACCTCTCCCAGCTCAGAGGAGGTAATCCATGCAGG